GAGGTGGAAGGAAAGAAACAGCAGCTCGGAGGAGGAGCTGCACCTTGGAGGCGGAGCTAGATCCACCCAGGCGTTTTGAATAGTGGAATAGTTGTCATGAGAATTAAAGGATTTCTCAAACAGGCTTGAAAGAGTGAAAGCAGGACTCCAGGTATGTTTTTGAAGAGGGCATCACAACATGATGTAAAGCTCAAAAAAGTGGATTCTACTTGTTACTGCCCTCTAATTCTCCTACCTCTCTGTGGACTCTGATGAACTCCCGGGGGTCACCTTTGGCCCACGGCGGGAGGATGACGTCACCCAGCTTGGTGCCGTTCTGCTTGGCACCTGAAGCAACAAACGGCAGAATAAGTGAAATCTCCTACAGCTGATCTGAAAGCAGCCGACGGCGCGGATCGTCTCTGGTCACCCACCCAGATCAAAGTTATTGGAGTTCAGCAGGAACTCAGGCAGGTAGAAGAACTCTGGGATCAGCTCCTTGACGTCGGCCATGTTGTGTTTGGAGGCGGAGAGCCACGCCTCCCGGACGCTGTGGAACATCCTGTCTGCAAGGTCAAAGTGACCTCCCTGAAGGTCACAGAGACACACAGTTAAATCGTGGTTCCCAAACCTTTTCAACACTTAAAGGGGTTTTTATTGTTTCCTTTTAAGTAACTAAACAAGTGTGTTGTTTTTCTTTCCCTTTTCTTTATTGTGTTTGGTTGTCATATTTTATTTTGAACATTTAAAATGTCTTCCAGTTCTAAATTATGGAAATGAGGCTAATCTTCAGAGCTATTTAGCTTTGCTTTTTGGCAAGCAGAGCTTTGACCCGATTTCTGTAATAATCAATATAAGCTCTGGAATTGAGGATCGAACCTGAAGTCTGAGGAAAATCTGCGTGAATGGCTCCATCCGGACCAAATACGAGGCAACGATCATGGCGGAGGAGTAGTGGGTCCCGTAGTGGTACGCTGGGGTTTCACCTGGACAGAGGAGTCAGCAAAGATCTGAGTAACATCAGGAAATAGCTGCACCATTTGTTTAGTTTGATGTAAATTCGCCAGTTTAATAACAGATAAAACTGCTGAATAATACTACTAAATATTAGCTTTTTGATGCTAACGCCAACTTCATGAGCGCTCCATGACTAACCCAAATCTGATTTTTTTTTTGCCAAATCTGACTTTTTCACCGCAGTCTGAATGGCCCAATTCCAATCTTTTTTCACCCAAAAATAATCAGATTTGTGTCATGTCCATATGTGGAGCTAAGTGGGATACATATCTGATTGTTTTCAAAGTGTCTGCAGTCTGAACGGTCATGTCACTTAATGTAATTCTGCACCAGAAGAAGCAGCTTCCTCCTTCATGTTATGATCTTGTGACAATACTGTCGTCTCTCATTGCTGAACAAATTTAAAATCGTTCTCTTGCACATGCTGGCAACTTTGAGGATGAACACCAGTCTGATGGTGATTGAGTTTCATTAGCAGTATGAACAAAAAAACCAAGCAAGTCAGATTTCAGTAAAAAATGTGAACTGAGCGTGAAGAGGTTCGGCGGCCTCACCGTTGGGATCCTCCCAGTCTTTGTATCTCTTCTTGTACTGGGTGAGCCGGTCGTCGGTCTGGGCGCCCATCGGCTTGGCCAGGTTTCGGAACGTCTTTGGGTTGTTCAGGTCCAACTCCTGCAAATTTAAATAAACAACAAAAACTGAAAGCGGACCCAAATCCACAAACCTCGTTTTAAAGGTGAAACGCTTCTTTGCTCACCTCTGAGTCGAAGTCGGCCAGGATCCAGGGGAAAACCGGGTACTGCATCAGGTCGTTGTACGAGCGTCCCGCCAGCGTGTTCAGATGCATCAGGTACTGGAAGTTACTGATCTCACCTCGCTGGAACACACACACACACACACACACACACTCAGGAGCCGTCGATACAGGCATCAAGACTATAAATCCCAAACTAAAGATTCTTACCTCCCATCTTTGAGTGACTGACTTCTCACCAACCAGCGTGCTGAGAAGTCCAGACCTGAAGGAGACGAGGAGAAAAACTCAGTGGCTCTGAAATAAAGGGCTGATAGTCTTTATTATTATTATTATTATTATCATCATCATCTGTGTGGAGAAACAGATATTTATGAGAACAGAGTAGGTGATTGTGATTTATGTAAAAAAAAAAACTGTAGTAAATTCCTTTCTGGTTATTTTTATGAGGAGAATAGCCTTAATAACTGAAATAACTAATTATTATGAGATAATTACCCTTGTTCGACGCTGGTGTTGGGCCTCTGGCCTGAAACAGACTCTGAGCTGTCAGCCAGCGACGGCACAACAGCCAAGAACCTGCAGGAAAAAAAAACGCTGTTCAGCGTCTCCAGCAGGAGTAAAACTCATTTTCATTACCAAAGGTAACTCTACACTCTACCTTTGGTAAACTTTGTTGCGAACGCCTTTCTGGAAAGCCAACAAGTAGTTCCTTCCATCGGCTGAGAAAACTTCCACCGCCATCGGCTGAAAGAAACAAAAACAAAACAAGGTTTTACACTAAAACATAAAACCTCCAACATTTGAGCATATTTAACAAAAACCTTTAAAAATCATTGCATTTCTGAAGTACATGGTGAAGTAAAGTCACATTGGACTTTTGCTCTTCATTTGGCTTTTTGTGCATTTAAACCAACTTATTGTTGGTGTTTTTGTTAATGATGCTAATTTTGTTTATTGATGAAATTTTAAGAAAATGATTGTTTATCCACTGTTATTAAAATTAAATAGATGCTATATTAGTGGGTTAGCTACTGATCAATACAAACTGGAACACTGACCAATTTATTTGATGCATATTGATGTCTGTGATGTCATTTCACATTTGGTTACTGTATGATGTATTTATGATGTTTTCATGACAATGAGCTGCCTTCACTGCAAAAACGAAAATCTTACTAAATACTTTTGGTCTAGTTTAGTTAGTTAGTACATTTGAAACAAGACAAAACTAACTTACAAGTAACTTTTCAGCAAGAAACTGTTTTAAGTCAATAATTCCTTAATATGAAAGTACGGGTTCCACTGGCAGATTATTTCACTTGTAAAAATACATTTTTCATGTCATAACTGCAGTATTTTTAATCAATATTAGGGAATATTTGTCTTTAGACAAGCTCCTGTTTCTTGCTGAAAAGTTACTTGTAAGTTAGTTTTGTCTTATTTAAAGTGTTATATGACATAATTGCACTAGAAACTAGACCAAAAATACTTGGTTTTCAATTGTTCTGTTTGTTTGTTGTTGAGATGTTCTATGTAAATAAACTTGACTGACTGATTAAATACAAATTTGTTATATGTATGGTCTATATGTGTAATAAATATAAGATTTTGTAGGTGGATCAGAACTGGGAATATTGATACGTTTATGCTCGTCAATATTCAGTCCCATGAATATTTGGTTTTGACTTTATGCTTCATGCTCTAAATTTTTTTGTACATCTTTAAAAAACAAATCATCAATAATAATAATAAAAAAATTCCAACTAAGAGAAGTATCACTGTAGATACTTATAGTCCAAACTGTTGAAAACTCTTCTAAATTTGAGCCTTTTAGCCCAGTTTATGATCCAATAACATCACTTTTATTAGGTGCTTAATAAAAATATAGAAGTGGTATTTAAAGTACAAAAACAAAAATATATGTTAATTAAAACATGCCAACCAATTTACTTATAAAGTTGAATGTCTCAGACAGAGCTAACACTGCAGTGTGGAGGGTTTTGGGCCTGACCTGCAGCAGGTAGCGCCGCTTGTGAACCTCCTTGATGTCTTCGTAAGCAAAGATGCTGCAGGTTCTCTTCAGCTGGCTCTGGCCCTGCCGCGCCCCTCTGGGAATGATGGCCTCGTGCAAACTAGACACCAAGAAAACATAAGGATTCAGATTACGCAACAAAAACACCACAAAAAATATAAAGGGAGAATAAAAATGTAAAACACTATTGAAGAAAAGGGTCAGAGGTCAGAGAGGAGACGGCGGCGGCTCACTTGGGCGGCAGGGTGTCGATGTCCCTGATCTCCCTGGAGACGGTCATGGTGTAGCCGTCGATGACGTAGAAATGCTCCTTCCCGAACAGCAGCAGACCCTCGCTGGTGTCCAGGCCCTGCACCCTGGCACAGCGGTACATGTGCTGGATCTGGAGGAACAGGAAGAAAACAGATCACATGAATAAAAACTGTGAGCAAAAAAAACAACTGTTCAGAGGAAAAAAATGAAACAGAGAAAGAAGGATGGGAGGGTCAGGAGAGAAACTGTGTGATGTGAGAAGAGCTGGTGAGAAAAAGAGACAGTTCAGAGAAAAACACTGCAGAAAAAATGAAACAAGGATGGAAGGAAAAAAACAGGAAGTGAGAAAATAAAGGATGGAAGAATTGAAAAAAAGTCCAGTATTCACAACAGGATCTGCTGCGCCGCACTGAATGGTGATTGACAGCGCTAAGATCCGCCTACTGGCTCTGACTGGTTGTTTCTAGTTAGCGCTGACTCAAGGCAGATGATAGTTTGGATTATATGTATCAAACAGATAAAACCAATATGTAAAAAAATAATTTATAAACATTGATTCTTTTGTAATGTTTGTTAAATTATGATTTTATTCTAATAAACAACATATTTATTATTATTGAGTTTATTTGACCGGGACAGACACACATCGACATGGATAAACTGAATAAAACAGCCCCATGTTTGTCATAGTGCAATAAAAACAGCTAATTCGCAGCACTTGTCCCTAGAAGTGCTGCGAATTGTTACTTTAAATATAATTTAAATTAACATATTTTAATTACTTTTTTATTATAGAAAAAAATATTTATTCTAAACAATATTTATTGCAATAAATACAATATGATTTTATTGTAATTCAACTTCTATGCACCATAAATCTGGAACAAACTTCCTGTAATGTTTGTTAAACTGTTGACTGCACGGTGTTTTCTTTGTAGCTTTATCACTTTGTGTTTTTATTACTTAAAGCAACTTGAACAAATAAAACAAATAAACTTGACTTGAGTTGTTATTTGTGGCAGAGTGTAATGGGGATCCTTAAATAAACAAAGCTGCTCAACAACACAAGATGAGCTTTTACTCCACAATCCAATAAGAAGAAAAACAGGAAACGCTGAAATTCTGCAACCACAATAGCAGAGCAGATATCGATCATAAATGTCTCCCCTCACCTTCTCCCCCTCCTCCAGGAGGCGCAGTAGGGACGTGTTGTCGGTCCTCTGCTCTTCTTCTGGACCTCCAGACTCCAGCAGCTGGTCCTGAAGCTGGTCCTGGCTGTCCTCGTCCGTGCCGTCAGCTGTGGAGCGAGACCTCTTCAGAGGAGCCTTCACCAGACCTGGAGGGCAGGAAATAAACACACCGACAGGCAGTAAAATGGATGAGTAAGAAGCTAAAACAGATGCTGACTAATCAAATCTATTATAAATCATTTAATATTTAAAAATTACATAATCAGATGGACCAAAATATAAAGTTAAATGGAAATTGTGATATTTTAAGGACCAAATGACAATAATTTATACAAGGAACAAAAATTAATAAAATCAGGAAAAACATAATTTTTCAATTCAGTTTCTGTCAATAAAAAACTGACAACAAAAACAGCTAAAAACTGTTGAATTTCTGGTTAAAACATGTTTGTTTTTCATTCAGTGGGTAGAGAATCCAGAAATGTTACTCGAGAGTAGAAATACTTCATAATAAAATTACTGGAGTAAAAGTAAAAGGTACAGTGTAGTAAAAATACCCCTAAAAATATGTTTTATTAAAAAAGTTACTCATTTAAATGTAACTGAATAAATGTAACTAGTTACGACCCAACACCGGGTAGATCAAACACGATTTTCAATTTTAATCAGAAAACATTAAAATAAAAAAATGTGGGCTTACTAAATATTTTATCTTTCTTGCTCCTATATTACTAGAAGCTTTAATTAGGTAAAATCAAAGCTAAAATGTAGTTTCTATATAGGATTTTGTATTTGTCTGTGCCTCACTGCACATCACGGGTCGAACAGGAAATACTTGTATTAAATCTTTGTCACCTTTGACCCTAGCGATGGTGTCCTCTCCGTGCTCCGGCTCGTGCTGCGCTGTCTCTCCCTCCGTGCTGTGCTCCACGGAGTGCTGGTACATCCCCGGGTTTCCAGACAGCAGCCGCATGTAGTACTCCTTGCTGTCGTAGCTGATGGCCCGGCGGTACCGCAGCGGCTTCTGGAGGCGAACGAGAATCAAACCTGAGAGAGCCGCTCATATTTAAAGGTGCAAACATCAGGCACATGCAGGAGTTAGTGATGATTTAATCCACAGTAGATGTACGTCGCATCAGGTTAGAGGAACCTGCAGTTCTGGAAAGAGTTAGGGTTAGATCAGGGACAAATCAGAGCTCTTCCTGTACCAGTTTATCCCTCTGAAGTTTTTATGCAGCAACTCTGATCCACATATTCACTCCAAAAACAAAAGATTCCCAAGTATTTGTGTCTGTTTTTTAGTGCAAACATCTCAGTACAGTTAAAATAAGACAAAACTAACTTACACATAACGTTTCACCAAGATATAAGAGCCTGTTTTAACAATTCCTCAATAATGATTAAAAAAATACGAGATCCCCTGGCAGCTTATTTAACTTATAACAAGACATTTCTCCCCTGCTATAAGTTAAATAATCTGCCAGTCTGTTTTAATAACCCTTTCAATGTTGATGGGCAGCAATATTCGTCGTTATATTCATCGTCGATGTCATAAACTAAGTCTTTATACACTTTGATAATGTAAGAATGTGCAGAAAGTGAGAGCCGTGGTGCTTCGATACTTGAAGATCCTGGCAGAATCAGTGAATTTGCAGCCCAGCTAAAGCCATGCTGTATTTATTTTCAGCTGCAGATTTAAAACATGCGGCAAAAAAACTGATATGTGGGTAATTAGTCTGGACAGGGAGGGCAGGAGGGTACCTGAGCTGAGGGGAAGAGGGGCACCAGAGGGGGGAAGAAGGGCTGGAAAGGTCACAAAAACGAGGTTGAGACTGTCGTAATAAAGCTATGAGCGATGCAACACTTTTTATTTCTGTCTATATGTAAAAAACTAAAAAACATAACCCCCCATATGTATGCAAAACATTTTTTTTTACAAAATGCTTTTTAGCATTTTTAAAGACAAAAATTAAAACTCTTCCTGATCCTTATAGCTGCGATATGTAACTTTTATAAAGAATATGGTTTTATATATTTGTTAAAACTGTCACCATGTCATGACCATTTATGATGGACTGTTTATGGTCAAACCTACCCGAAATGACCAATCAGAGCCAGGAGGCGGGTCTTAGCGCTGTCAATCACGCTCCATCATTGCTAAATGTGTTAAGGTCAGAAAAACAACTTACCTTTACAGTAAAACTGTTTATGCACAGTTACAGATGGCCATGCTAACTAGCCTTAGCATTCGGGATATTTTCGGACTGTGATTGACAGCGCTAAGCCCCGCCTCCTAGCTCTGATTGGTTGTTTCTAGTTAGCAATGGGAGAAAGTGGGTGAACTTG